TATATTCCAGGAAATTTCACGGTAATTTAAGAATGCTCGCAGTTTAAGAATAAAATTGAAAATAAAAAGGTCCCACCGAGATTTGAACTCGGATCGCTGGATTCAGAGTTCAAAGTGCTAACCATTACACCATGGGACCATTTTATTTTAGATAAAGCATTCAATGGTATTTATTTCCCTAACGTAAGATGTTGATATAATTTAATATTTAGGAGTTGCCAAAGCAGCAGGACCATGTTGTTCAGCTCAACATGTTAAAGTGTGTCAAGATTCTTGTTCTGAAGGGCGAATACCTCAGGATCGCGATGGAAGCGGAACCAGACTTTCTTGCTTATCTTCAGGAGATCTTCTTTGTTCCTAAGTAAGTGCTCGGTGATAAAAGGTTGGTCGCTGGTTGGTCGTATAAGGAAGGTGGTGGCTTTTGATGGTTGGTCGTATAAGGGAGGTGGTGGCTTAAATTGTTGGTCGTATAAGGGAGGTGGTGGCGTAGATTGTTGGTCGTATAAGGGAGGTGGTGGCTTTTGAAGGTTTTCAAATTAAGGCGCGATTACACGGAGCATTTTTTTTGCAGTCTTTCTTTCAATAGTCCCCCCCCCACAGCCGCTTTCAGTGTCGTCACGCAACGCTTTCTCCCCTGACTAGCGGCTGCTTACCCGAGCACAACATTCCTTTCCTATTGTTTGTGTTCAACCAATTAGATAAGTGTCATTGTGTTTCAAGAAACAATCAAAACGTTTCGAATTTGACAACTTGTAAACATTCGCGAGACTAGAGAAATAATTCTAAGACGCATTTGAGTGGAAGTTGGAGAAAATCTTTGGGAAATTAAAATTGAATTTGTTCTTGTTAAATGTTTAATACTAGAAAAAATATTATTGGAGACGGAACTAAGTGTTTTCTTTGTTCATAAAGAAAGAAAATATTTATATTTTTATAAGTTTAGCTTTCGACATTGTTTAATCGGCCGACAGTGAATTCGAGTTTGTACTTGCTATCGAGCTCGTACCAAAATATTAGAAGCAAAAAGAAACTGGAAAACTTTTTTAAAAAGCGTAATTTAGACTCATGGAAGTTAAATGAGACGATTCAAGATTTAAGAGATTGAATTCGAATATAAAGTCTGACAGTATTTCTAATAAACGAAGAAGATGAGCCGCGCAGATCACATTTTAAACAACGAATGCAAGGTGTTAAGCTCAAGAAAATCACAAAAAGGCTAGATAACTTTTAAATCTGACACTGTCACATCGTTGACTTCCACGGTTATTCACAGTTCTGGTATTTACTTCTCGTATACTGCGAGGATTAGCTCAATTTGATACTGTTAGAAAAGTTGTTTTGTTTTGTTTTGTTCACACTGTTAGAAAAGTCGTGAAAAGTGAACACGAATCGTTAGCTAAAGCGTTATCTTATGGCCAACCTTCTAACGTCGCGTTTTATAGCAGCTTGAACTTCGAACTCCTGTTATTCAAAAAGTCCTCGAGCTTGTCTCGAAAGAAATTACTGGGCTATACTCTAGAGCGCCAACATTTTATTCCTTTGAGCGATTTCCCATATCCAGTAGGCAGATTTTCAAAGAAATCTTGTTTTTCTTGTAAAATCTTTCGTATAGCGTCTTTCTGATGATCATTAAACTGTTTGATGCGAAATTTCTTAGCTGCTATTTCGAAGCCTTCGACACATCGTGCTTTCCATATGGCGCGAATGGTTCCTGGTTTTCGAGTACTGAGCCGTGATTGGTTAATTCATAGGAAAGGAATGTTGTGCTCGGGTAAGCAGCCGCTACTCAGGGGAGAAAGCGTTGCGTGACGACACTGAAAGCGGCTGTGGGGGAGACTATTCTTTCAACGGCGTTGCGACACAAGTTGCATGGAGCATTGCAGCGTGCAACCTACAGCGCAGAATTCGTTTCTACTTTTGGAAACGACTGAGTCTCCGTTGCACCTTGTAAACACTCTTGCAACTTGTGTCGCAACGCTGTTGTGAGACAAGCTGCAGAGAAAACTGCTCCATGTAATCGCTCCTTAAGAATTACTAAGGTATTACGAAGAAGGAGAGAGTTGCAGAAGTTGCATGAGGAATGTGGTCGCTTAGTGGAGTGGCGGTCGGATAGGAGAGGTGTTCGCACACGCATAGAAAGATGACTGTTTAGACAGATGCCGATAAAGGATCACTTAGGAAAGTTCTCGCTCATGGAAGTCGTCGGTTCAAATTGTTATGGCAGTCGCTTAAACTGGTGGAGCTTCTTTTCATTATCTTGATGTTTATTTACTTTTCAGTCTCTGGGACATGCTACGAGCCGAGCACTCCGTCCTCTCTGAAATCTGCGTAGAAATCCTTCTCCACTGTATCTGTCTTCCGTTTGGAGCTGAGAAATTATGCGACAGCGTTGAGGGTGCCTTCACTGACGACGACTGGAGAGTGCGTTTTGCCGGCGTCGAGAAATTCACCGTCATCGCAAGATTCCTCGAAATCGAGAAGTTCAAATCCAACAAAGTCGCAATGTCAGCTCTAGCGCATTGTTTCACGTACCTCGTAGGCGCCGTGGAAGACGTATGTACCCCAGTGTCAACCAGGACCATTGCCATGCTTGAGACTATCAAGTCAACGTCGCTCAAGACTCTTTACGCTTGCATCGAACACCAATACGACGCAGTCCCTAAAGACCGTCTTCTCTTGATTCACACGTGTCGGATCCTACACCGAACTCTTCCTCACTACACCCCTCTGTGTGGACAATTCTTTATTCGGCGATTCAAGCATCTTTTGATTGAAAACGCGGATTATGTGTACGGGAGCCCTAAACCACGTTCTCCCGCGGGGGGTGGGGGATCTGCGTATGTCAGCCCTATGAGTGAGGTGTCGACGCCTGTTGAAGCAGACGGTTCAAGGAAAGGTTGGTATTACTTTCTCTCTGTATTGCTATGTTTTCTGTTTATATGTTAGTCGAGCTACTGATCTTGACTGCCGGTCTACCTAAAGGTGTTGCCCAGTTCTCCAGCGACAAATAATTTCCAATCCCCCACTTTTTGAATCTTGACCTTTCTGTCAAAGGTCATTTAAAAACAAGATAATAACTTTGCGCAGTGGATATTCATATTCCCTTCCTTCCCTCTCATTTCCCAGATCTCATTCACTTTTCATTTAGATTTTCATTCAAGATATCAACATGAACATAAGATTCTTGCTCATGYATTCATTCGTGCCCAACTTGATTTTATTAATCATTATTAATGAATACATGTATAAGTATTAATCTACTTGGTTGTTTTCAGAGCGGTGGCGGACTTATTCATCAACTGGTAAATCAAGCGGTTCTCGCTCGTCGCGTATGCAGGACACGATAGCAGTCAATCGATTCACCAAAGAACAAACACCTTTATACCGATGTAGTTACACTTTTAAACTCGCTGGCGAGAGAATAAGCTACAATAGACAGTTGTCCAATTCATCAGAAGGTAAAGATATTATCTTAATGCTATCAGTCGTGAACAAGAGACTCATTTTCCTTTTATCTCCTTCCTTCTTTATCACACAGGGACCCCAAGTGCCTTAGAAAGGAAAATAGGAGAGATGTCTTTACCATTTCTTTACCATTATTCTTATTATTTCCCGTTCTTTTTAGGAAATACGCCCACAGGCGGTCGTCAGCGTCGGACAGGAGGGTTTCAAGGTCAGCTTGGCCATTCAACAGAGATGACTGATCGAATATTCCTCGGGGGACGAATCCAGATCGATAACTTGTCGACCGTTGAAGAAGAAGCCGACTCGGAAAGGGCAGATAATGATTCGACTAGAATGTCGCACGTGTCACTGGAGTCTGCGCACAGCCAGGAGCCCGTAAGAATAAATCTCCATATTCTAACGTTTTTTATCGCCATTTTCTGTTGATACCTACCTAGACGCGCTAGTATCTAAAAACACGCTCCTTTTCGGCATACTAACATCACATCATAGGACAATCACAACAGAGCTTGTCTCCACACTAGGTGAAAGCCCAAATATATAATTGGAATTTAGAATTTGATTTTTGAAGAGGGAGGAAAACCGGAAAACCCGGAGAAAAACCCTCGAARCACAGGAGGAAACTAACGAGCAACTCTACTCACATACGTGACAGGAAGGACTCGAACCCGGGTCGTGGTGAGAGGCGACGTATTACCAGCGCACGCCACCCTACTTTCCTATCATAGTAATCTTCTACTTCCGGTTTCAATTATTCCACCGGAAACGGAGAAACTACTAAGAGTTCCACCTTTTCTTACCTTAAGAACCAAGGGGCTCCCCAAGACGCGAGTGACCTCGAAGCAGCTGCCACTCATCAACTGGTTACCTTGGTGATGGACTTCCTGGCCTACCCCGGAGCAAACAAGCTTATAATACCGTCCGAGTTTGTCAAGACAGAGAGTTACGAAGTGGTTCAAATGAGCCATTATCTGGGAGTACTCATGGGATACGATATTAAAGTGGGAGAGTTCACTGGGGATCCAAGAAGGCTAAGGTAGATAGGTCAGCTACCTAGGCTGAATGACCAATCAGCGCAGTGTATACGTTTAGAAATTGCTTATTTGCAAAATACTAAAATATTGTCTTGCTTTTCTCATTGTCATATCTGCTGACTATAGGTATTGCAGGCACAGGCATGCCAATATTTTGGGAAAGTTCACTCGGAATTAAATACTGTGTGCATGCATGATAATCTTTTGATATAAATTACCATGTAACATCGTGTTCACATGGCTTGCATTTTTCATTATCAAATCCGCAGACTATGGGCGTCGTAGGGGCAGTCCTTGATGTTGTTTGCCTATCCTTGCATTTTTGCATGGTCGAATCTTCTGTCATTACGATTGCAGGCGCCTTCATGAAAATGAAGATAGGTTTTGTTGATTGAATATTTACAGGTATTTTCCCGTCTTCCACGCTTACATGAGTGGAATCGTACAAGTCTTGGACCAGAACCAGGAGTGGGGAGARGAATTGATCAACCTGACTCTCCAACTATTGCTATTCTGTGCTGCACCAAAGTCCCAGCGAAGAATAGATCAGCCAGAATTCACTCTTATTAGACTCAGTCAGCCAATGAGACGCACTTGGTTAATGACCATATTGATCATACTTTATAAGGTAAACCACTTTAGAAGCGACAATGTCATTGGCTTTAGATTACAGTAAAGAACCAACCAGGTCACGACTTTGTCACTTTTCTTTGTTGTGAAACAAAAAAGGAAAAGAAAGAAAAATAAAAAGGTCCCACCGAGATTCGAACTCGGATCACTGGATTCAGAGTCCAAAGTGCTAACCATTACACCATGGGACCTATTATTGAATCATAATCCAGGAAATGTCACATTAGTTTAAGAAAGCTCTCAGTTTAAGATTAAATTGAAAAGAAAAAGGTCCCACCGAGATTTGAACTCGGATCGCTGGATTCAGAGTCAAAAGTGCTAACCATTACACCATGGGACCTTTTCTTGAAATACATTCCAGGAAATTTAACACTAGTTTAAGAAAGCTCTCATTTTAAGATTAAAATTGGGAAGAAAAAGGTCCCACCGAGATTTGAACTCGGATCGCTGGATTCAGAGTCCAAAGTGCTAACCATTACACCATGGGACCATTTCTTGAAAAACATTCCAGGAAATTTCACATTAGTTTAAGAAAGTTGCCAGTTTAAGATTAAAATTGAAAAGAAAAAGGTTTTTATGCCTTGTTTCCGTTTTCCTTCGCGTTTTTTTGATGTTGTTTAACCTTGTGTTTTTAGTACCCATTCTACCATGACTCGCACCGGAGGGACACAAGGAACCTTATTACTGTGGTGATCAATACATTAGAGGCCCAGGACCATAAGTGCCCGGGCCCTAGAAGTGCCAAACATCAGCGACAGAGCCTTTCATTGTTGGACTTGGAAAACATGACTCCAGAGGATGCTACTAGACCAGGTATAATGATCTGTGTGTCTGTCTAGGTGTCTGTCTGCCTGTCTGCCTGTCTGTCTGTCTGTCTTCTTGTCTATCCATCTTCCAATCAGTCCATCTTATTGTTGGTGGTAAATGTCTTTGTTTTTGGTTGTGTAGCCTTGTCTGTCTTCTCTTTGTCTCTTCTATATCTGTCTATTGGTCGATCGTCCCGTCTCTCTGTCTGTCTGTCTGTCTTCTATGGCCCTTCTGTAGCTCTTTCGGCACTGTCTGTGTCTGTCTGACTGACTGACTGTCTCCTCTACTTTGCTCTTTTCTCATATTCTGTTCTGTCGTTTCTTTCTTTCCGTTGTTTATTGTTTTATAACCAATATTTTCTTCTTTTCGTACGCAGACACTCCCGGCAGTCCCCGCCATAATAAACGCGCCGAAGCATGCCGAGYATCTCCCACGTACAAACAGCGTCTATCAACCTGCTCGTCTGCAATAGAAGGCGACAAAGACGCCGACAAGAACCTCGAGGTTGATGACCAGAAAACCCTTCCTCTCATGGCGATACACGAGACTTCATTCGTTGGTTCTGACTCGTCACAGCAGAAGGCCACCACCAGTACTCCCCTCTTAGAATTCTCCCCAGGGGGGTCCCGTGGGGGGAGCTCTAGTGCCTTGACGGATGAAGAAAGGAACCCTGAGCGTCGACCTTTGATTGATGGAAGTTCAGATAAGAAAGCGAAAAGAGGTATGTCAATATTTTTTATGGCGTTCATGGGAATGTTCGTAATCTAAAATCGATTGGGATCCCTGTGGAAGAAAGACGGTAGCGTGATTGTTCTCTTGTCGCGGGTTTTACAGATTTTCATGTCACGTCTTTCATCTGTTGCATGTCATTCAGTCACATGCGTTTTACCTGGTCTCTTGTTGATTTAATGGTCTTGGTTTGTTTCCTGTCACGTGCTTGTTCTACTGTTACGTGCTTGTTCACCTGTCACGTGCTTGTTCACCTGTCACGTGCTTGTTCACTTGTCACGTGCTTGTTCTCCTGTCACGTGCTTGTTCACCTGTCACGTGATTGTTCACCTGTCACGTGATTGTTCACCTGTCACGTGATTGTTCTCCCACATTGTCCATTTACTTGACATGTAACTTCTTCTGTCACAAAAACTTCGAGAAGCACTGTTCAATTAATACTAGTATTAATGAATAAGACGGGAACGCCATTTTACGTAGTAATTTTGTGTTAAAACGTCGAGGCGTAAAATGACGGACTAGTACTGTCTCATTCGGAGACGTTAAATTAAAGGGCCACAAGTATATATATATGTATTTAAATATAAAATATATAAAATGAATATAAAAATTATGCTATACTGAAATGACTAAAACTTATAAATGAACTCTGAGAAATTGATCAGTTATTAAAATAAAAAGATGTTACGTTTCAGCACAAGGACGCTCTTTTCGTGGTGAATCAACGACTCGTGATAAAAGAACTTACTTTTATAACCTCGCCAGGCGATATAAATCTGCTCTGACGTCGCTACACGGTCAGTAAACGCACCCCACCCTCCCCTCCCTTATCCATAAAATAAATCTCGGCAAGCGATATAAATCTGCTCTGACGCCACTAAGGAGTCACTAAATGCACCCAACCCTCCCCTCCCTAATCCATAAAAATAAATCTCAACAAGCGCTATAAATCTGCTCTGACGCCACTAAGGAGTCACTAAATGCACCCAACCCTCCCCTCCCTAATCCATAAAAATAACCAGTTCCACCACAGGTGGACCAGTAATGATTTCAATCTTGGTAAGTTATAATCATAAATTTTATGAATAAATTACAGCAATGAGTATGAAGTGACTTAACAAATTTAGGGAGGTTTCGGCACGTTAAGCAGTAAAATGCCTACCGTAGTATAAAATTTAAATCATGTACGTTGCCTGTCAAGGATTTCTATTGGATGTTGCGCATAATCTTGCATTTTGATCAGTGTCGTACCCAGAGCTCCTCGGTCTTGTCCCTCCCTCTTCGGAGGAGGAACAAGACTTAGGAGCTCTGGGTACAAGACTGGCATTTTGATTGGTCAATGTCCACGTCGTTTATCCAATCGAAATACTGAGACACGTCACAGTCATGTTTACTTCATGGCCTCGTTTCTCACGTATGTTTTCTATCATAATCGAAAAGTTATTGTTTCTTCCGACTTTTATCCGACCTTCAACCGACTTTTATCCGAGCCTAACAAGCCAAGCTCTCGCTTAGTATCCGTAGATTCGACATCGAGTCGAGACACCAAGGAAAGTATAGAGGGCGTTCTCTCCATTGGAGCAGAAGAAGGCCGCAAGACGTCTCGTCCCAAGCTCCTTGCAGGTGTGTCAATGCGATCAATGGACCATTCCCTCGAGAGATCATTGGATACGTTCATGGATACCCCAGGAGAAAAAGAACCAGAGTTGCAAGATATTGACCTTGATGTGTGCCCCGAGTGTGGAGCTACTCTGGAGGAGTTTGACGAAGAAACACTCAATATGGCTATTGTAGCTTTGTCGACGTATGTTCACCAGAGCCCTTCAATGGCAATGCCGTTTTTGCTGAGGATGCTGGAATGTGTTGGAAGGTATGTGACATAATAATATAAGAAATGGTGACGATAGTGGTAATGGTGGTGATGATGGTGGTGGTGATGGTTATGATGCTGATTTTGAGGATGATGACGACGATGATGTTGATGGTGATGATGATGGATGATGTCGATGACGGCGATGATAGTGATAGAGATGACGATAATGATGGTGGTGATTGTGATGGAGGTGGTGGGGATGATATTGACGATGATAATGATGATGATGATGATTAAGATGACACTATCATTGAAAAACAGATTAATTGACTGTGTTTAAAAAAAAGATTTGTCAGGTCCCACCGAGATTTGAACTCGGATCGCTGGATTCRAAGTCCAAAGTGCTAACCATTACACCATGAGACCGTTTCCTGTAGTAAATTCCAGGAAATTTCACATTAGTTTAAGAAAGCTCTCATTTTAAGATTAAAATTGAAAGCAAAAAGGTCCCACCGAGATTTGACCTCGGATCGCTGGATTCAGAGTCCAAAGT